CCACACACACACACACACCCACACACACACACACACACACACACACACACACACACACACACTCACACACACACACACACACACACAACACGCACACACACCCACACACACACACGCACACACACACACACACACACACACACTCACACACACACACACACACACACACACACACACACACAACACATACGCACACACCCACACACACACACACACCCACACACACACACACACACACACACACACACACACACACACACTCACACACACACACACACACACAACACGCACACACACCCACACACACACACGCACACACACACACACACACACACACACTCTCACACACACACACACACACACACACACACACACACACACACAACACATACGCACACACGCACACACGCATTCACGCGCACACGCACACAAGCGCACACGCGTACACGCGCAAAGGCGCACACACTCGCACTCCCTCGCACACGCACGCACATGCGCACGGACACGCGCACGCGCATACGCGCACACGCGCACACGCGAACACGCGTACACGCGCAAACGCGCACACACTCGCACACGCACGCACACGCACGCACATGTCCACGGACGTGCGCACGCTCACGCACATGCACACAGGCAAGCACACGTGCACTCACAAGCGCACACACACGCGCACGCACACGCGCACGCACACGCGCACGCACACGTGCTCGCACACGCGCACGTACACGCGCACGCACTCGCGCACGCACACGCGCACGCACACGCGCACGCACACGTGCACGCACACGCGCACTCACACGCGCACGTACACGCGCACGCACACGCGCACGCACACGCGCACGCACACGCGCACGCACACGCGCACGCACACTCGCACGCAAACGCGCGCGCACACGCGCACGCACACGCGCACGCACACGCGCACTCACACGCGCACAGACACGCGCACGCACACGCGCACGCAAACGAGCACGCACACGCGCACTCACACGCGCACGCACATTCGCACGCACACGCGCACGCACACGCGCACTCATACGCACACGCACATGCGCACGCACACGCGCACGAACACGCGCACGCACACGCGCACACATACGCACACGCACATGCGCACGCTCGCGCTTACACACCACGCACACTCAAACGCACACACACACGCACGGTTTATACGGTTTATAATATTATTATACTTTTGAGACTGTTGTTTTAAACTATTCCGCGAACTGTTCACGCTGCTTGGAGCAGATCATAAGTGTTTAGCTTGATCAGCCGCATCCTATCACACGGTGAAGACGGCGCTTATGAACAAGGCGTGCCCGGTGCCTTGCATGAGTTTTCACAGCTATATCAATAAGGTAATATTAGTTAAACATTGAAAGCCCTACTGGAAGGTGTATAAAAATCTGTTATAGAATTTTTAGTTTTATATTAGTATGTTTAATGAGATATTTGTGATATTTAATAGAATTTAATTTATTTATTAATATACATGCGAAGTAATTATATATTTAAATGTTATCACTTCCCATAACATCCGTTTTGGCTATAAAAGAAATTGTTTTAAGAATATTACTGTAAACATTGAAATTAAGGCTATATTTCTGTGAACTCTTATTGTTAATATTGTATTAAATTTACTATTTTATATACGTTATAAGTTTTATGTTAATATCCATTATAATCAGAGTATTTCACAGAGGAACTACACATATTGATGCTTTTAAATTATTTTTACCGTATATGTATTACTCTCGTTTCAATATCCCACAGAAACAGAAACAGAAACAGAAACAGAAACTTTTTTATACAATATAGATTATAAATAATACTTATTGAAAGTCACTCTTTTGTTTGATTACCACTGGTTCGGAAAAAAACCTCTGTCCTGGGAAGAACCAGCAAGAAACCCAGCGGGACTTTTTTTTTTAAATAACAGCTTACAATCATGATGTTACACAAATTAACAACACAACAAATTAGAAATAGCTTGGTAGCGAGCACCTCATTTCTAGGGGTTATTATCATCCATAAATTCCTTAATATTATAATAACCCTTTTTATACAAACTTAGTTTAATAAAGTTTTTGAACTTTGAACAGGTCAAACTTTGTATATTTTCTGGAATTTTGTTGTAAAAGCGTATACATCGCCCCAAGAATGAATTACTGACTCGATGGAGTCGAGTAACTGGTACTACTAGCTTGTGTCTGTTCCTAGTATTTACAGAATGAATATCACTTATTTTTGTAAAACTACTTTTATTTTTGTGTACGTACATTACATTTTCATAAATGTATTGAGAGGCCAAAGTTAATATATTAATTTCCTTAAATTTTTGTCGCAGCGACTCTTTAGGCTTTAAATCATAAATTGCTCTTATGGCCCTCTTCTGCAAAACAAATATAATTTCAGTGTCAGCTGCGTGTCCCCATAGCAAAATACCATACCACATTATGCTATGGAAGTAGCTGAAGTAAACTAGTCTAGCTGTTTCAACACTGGTTAAACTTCTAATCTTTTTTACAGCATATGCTGCAGAACTAAGTCTGCTTGCTAGTTTTGATATATGGGGGCTCCATTGAAGCTTCGCGTCTAGTGTGATTCCAAGAAAAATGGTGGTATCTACAAGACTCAGTTTCTCCCCATTTAAAATTACATTAGTATTTAATTGTTTGACATTTGGAGTCACGAATTTCATACATTTTGTTTTAGTGCCATTTAAATGCAAATTATTAACATCGAACCAATTTACTAATTTAGAGATAGCATTATTTACTTCGTCATATTTTAGTAACTGTCGACTTAATTTGAAAATTAAAGAAGTGTCATCTGCAAATAATACTATATCATGGTTATCCCCTACTATGTAAGGTAAGTCATTAATGTATACAAGAAACAGAAAGGGGCCGAAAATTGAGCCTTGAGGCACGCCCATTTGTACCATCGATCCGGAAGAGCTCATATTGTTAATGACAACTTTTTGCGTTCTCTTACTTAAATATGAAATAATTAATTTAAGGGCATCACTTCTTACACCGTAGTGTTGAAGTTTCCTGATTAATGTTTCATGGTGAACACAATCGAAGGCCTTGGATAGGTCACAAAATATACCCAAAGCATCCTGTGAATTCTCCCATGCATTAAAGATATATTTAATCAGCTCAACACCGGCATCAGTTGTCGAGCGACCCCTTGTGAAACCAAATTGATTTTTATGAAGTAAATTATTTATATTAAAAAAATTTAACATTTGAACAAGAACAATTTTTTCAAAAATCTTACTAAGTGTTGGTAGTACAGAAATAGGTCTAAAATTGGCGGGGTCTAATGTACTACCAGATTTAAATAAAGGTATTACTTTACTATGCTTCATTAAATCAGGAAACACACCAGATTCGATACTAGTATTAAAAATAATAGCTAAATGAGGCGCGATTGTATCTATTATAGACGCAATAACTTTAACGGAAATCCCCCATAGATCCGCAGTTTTCTTAACATCAATAGTTTTCAAATATTTTACAATATCTTTTGATGACACGTTATGAAATGTAAAATTCTTTGTACACACAGTTACATTTTGTTTAAGTAATGATTCGGCGACGGCAGGAGAAGAATTCAGTGACTTAGTGGTCAAGATCGGAATATCAGTAAAATATTTCTCAAAAACCATTGCTACGTCCTGATCTGATACAGTTAATTTGTTGTTAACACTTAACTGGTAATTTGAATTGCGAGAGTTGATCTTACCAGTTTCGCTATTAATTATACTCCATGTCATTTTAATTTTATTGGAAGCCGTCTTAATTTTGTTGCTCAAATGCAAAGACTTGGCTATGGAGCACACTCTTTTAAATATTTTTGAATATTTTTTTACATATTCCCTAAATTCGACGCTATGATTATATGACCTTTCATGGTAAAGATCATATAACCTATGCCTGCTCTTATGGACTCCTACTGTCGCCCATTCATTGAATGACTTCCGACTGTTCAAGGAGAATGTTTTAGAAGTAAAAGTATTATTAAATTCATTGCAAATAAGCTTAAATAATGTTCCATACAAAAAATTAGGATCATTTTGGTATGAAAGTGATGGAAGTTTTTTCACTACGTTACTTCTAAATTTCTCCAAGCGACGTGAATTTACTGGAACAGACACAACTTTCTCATCTACTTGCTTTTTGTGAACATAAGGTAACGAAACTACTTGTCCACAGTGATCAGAACTTAATTTTTGAATTATACATTTATGCAACGGCTTCACATTTGTAAAAATGTTATCTATACATGTTGCACTAGATTAAGAAATACGCGTTGGCTCTATAAATAAATTAAAAAGACCATATGATTTAAACAATGATCTAAATTTAATATTGTACACAGTACAACTTTGTATGGTATGGATGTCACGGGATATCGTGCGATATCACGGTATCCTTCCCTAAGCGACGGCTACTAATACAGTCATTTCGGAGATTATCCTTTCTAACGGCATCCAACTAACGCCGAAAGGTAAAGATATATATTAAATAACATTACAAGATAACATAACTACATATTCATCCTCATCATGATCATTACTGCCCTCCAAAAGTCCACTGCTCAACCCTGAGGCTCCTGTATCTTATCGACTTCCTGCAAATCTTCGTAGCTAGCGGCTGCCTTATTTAAACTACATCTATCAAAATTAGTAGGGAAGAAAAATGAGCTCTGTAATGTGGACTTTACTTAAAAGCATTTATGATCTCGGATCGACTATCGAAGTGCCAGTTATGGTAATGAGGCTTACCATTTTTAGTAAATCCTTCGCCTTAATTTTTTGTCGTAGGTTTGTCTTAGGTACACCTTTACACGATATTGTTATATTTGGTCGTTATATTCTGAAAAATTTACGATCTTTAATAGGTAGGTACTATACTTATATTAATATTGCACGATTTCAGAACAAGATTCTGCTAGCGTCGTTCTTATTCAGCAGCGGCTCAAATGAAATGGTCTACATGCAGGATTCCGAGATTGATCCCAAGAGTGTTACCTGGGTTTGCTGCGCTCTGCCTCGTAAGTTTTACATTGCAATATAAAATAATATAGTATATTTGCGTCACAAAGAGGAACTTAACAGCAAGTTGCAATCAAATTATAATAGTTGATTTTTTTTCTAGTTTTAAAGTTTAACTTATATGTAATATCTTGATATAAACACATTTGAGGTGAATCTGCTTTGATAATTTTATTTTAGGTAATAGTATTTAAGGAGTTAACTATATGATAATTTATGTTTCTAGTTTTAGTTTTTTTTATTATTATAGTTTGTAATATTGTATATATTAAAATAAATACGAGGGTGGATTGAAAAGTACTCGGCCTAACCAAGAAAATAAACAAATACTAAATCAGTTATATTTTTATTTTTCTACATAATCACCATCAAGTTCAATACACTTTTGCCACCTCCCCTTCCAAGCATTTAGACCGTTGAAAAAAAATGATTCTTCCTTAGAGTCAAAATATGCGTCTACAGCTGCTTTGACCTCGTCGTTTGTCGAAAATCTTTGACCTCCCAAGTGCGTTTTTAGGTTAGGGAACAGAAAGAAGTCTGATGGTGCCAGATCAGGTGAATACGGCGGATGCGGTAACAGTTCAAAGCCACAGTTGTGAATTTCAGCCATTGACTGTACTGACGTGTGAACACGGGCGTTATCTTGATGAAACAGGACTTTTTTTCTGAGCATTCCTCGACGTTTTTCTTTTATTTCCTCTCGTAAACGACGTAGTAAGGTGCAGTAGTAATCAGAGTTTATATTCTGATCCCTTTCAAGATAATCAATCATAATCACACCTTTCGAGTCCCAGAATACTGAAGCCATCACCTTATTTGCCGACAAAATCGACTTAGCCTTTTTAGGGGGTGGTGAACCAGGTCTTCTTCACTGTTTTGATTGTTGTTTTGTTTCCGGTGTACAGTAATGAACCCATGTTTCGTCCATAGTAACAAAACGATTCAAAAAATCATCTGCATCGGCTTCAAATAACTCCAAACAGTCGCGTGAAATAGTCAATCGCGTCCTTTTTTGTTCAACTGAAAGCAGTCGCGGAACCCACCTCGCAGACACCTTGTGGAAACCCAACTCGTTGACAATGATGTTTTGAGTTCGTTCATAAGAGATGCCTACAATCTCGACTATCTCTATAATTTTTAATCTGCGGTCTCCCATTATTAAATCAAGTACTTTTTTAATATTTTCGTCAGTAGTTGACGTCGAAGGCCTTCCAGAACGGGGTTCATCTTTCACACTCTCTCTACCACGCTTAAATTCTGCTATCCATTTTTTGACGGATGAATATGACAGAGCACAATCGCCTAATGTACTGACCATGTCATCATGGATGGCTTTTGATGATAGCCCCTTCTTATGGAGGTACTTAATGACGGCACGCTGCTCGATTTGCTCCATTCGCGGAAATTAGGTCCGATTATTTTGTTAATAAATTTATAAAATCACAACTAATTATCGCACACGTTTCGAACTTCACACAATGAACTACTCTGAACTGAACTAAATAATGTGGGTAGATTTGATTTTTAGAATTGAATGGATCTGTGTTAGGCTGAGTACTTTTCAATCCACCCTCGTATTTAAATATTATTTTTTTTTTATTTCGTAAATAATATAAAAATGTTTCCCATTTTATTTTCATTTACTTTAGTGTTTACAATATGGTATTAAAATTGCAATGGTTTACAGAGTAAAATGTGTTATTTAAAAATAATCCTCATTTAAAATATGGATAAGCGCTCTAGCAATAAAAGTAATATACGTAATATATAAATGTAAGTAATATACGTAATATAAGTATAAGTAATATATAAATGTTTGATTTGCAGGCATTGCAGGCGCAGCGATAAGGGTGTGTTGTGAACTACGCGGGCCCGAAGATGCGGTGTGCGTCCGGCAAGTGCGTGTGCTCAGTATGCCCGCGCCCCACCCCACCAGCGCGCTGCCCTCGCACGCGCTGCAGTCTCTCGTGGAGCAGGACACGTTGCGTGTGTTCCGCTTGCTCACTTTACAGGTTATTTTTTATGATTCTTTAGATTTTTTTAAACAAAACTATCCTATTCTTAGGTTTTCTAAAAGCAATTGCTGTATAGCATAAGTCTGCCTTTGGTTTTCTCTCTATTTTAGTTTATTTTATTTTATTATGAGACGAGATTTGTTTTTCTTTGGTGTGCAATAAAGAAAGCCGACAAACCTAGCTCCATTGCTGAACAAAGGCCTACCCCGACAAACGCCACAAAGCCCGGATTGGGGCCACCTGCGTCTACCTGGTTGGATGCCTTTCGTTTCTACAACCCAAATGTGTATATCTTGTTTTTATTTGTTATTTTCTAATTTCTGGTGTAGGTACTTTGTTTTATTATGACGAATAATCATTTCGGTCATGCATTATTTATTCATTAATTATTCAGTAGTTTCAAGAGTTATTACAGCCAAAACTGCTGAACATAGGCCTCGCCTAGGCAATATTTGCTATAGTTGCCACGATAGGTGATTGGATACCGCAGTTGTTTAGTTTTAGTCGTTATTAGGAAGACGTTGCTGCCTATCTTCTGGATTATTTCCCTCTGTCGCCTCTTACGACACCAATGAGCGATATGAGGTAGTGGATATTCTTACACCGACTTCAAGAAGTTACAGTTAATTTTACTTATGTATGATACTTTCAGGTATCATACATAAGTGATACTTTCAGGTGTTGGTGAACTGCTAGAGTGGGATCACAGTGGTACTGAGTCCAATGAAGGTGCTGTAGCAGCGGAGGATACGATTGCAGATGACAGCGACTTGCGTGAGCACGTCGTCGGCATACTCTTTGCTGGACATAAACTCACCTCGCTCAGATACAGGTGAGAGTCAAAGAGAGTGTGCGAGACAAGTCATATCTTAAAATTAATTGACTTAGTTAACTAAAGATCATCGTCAGACTGTTGTGTTATTTAAATCGTATTACTAGAAGAAAAGTGGGATAACATTCCACAAGTGGATTTACAACTAATATTAAACAAATTAAATTTATGTGATAGTATAGATACTTAAAAATTTGTTCTTAATATCGTATTTAACAACACGTTTGGCATTTTATTACCGAGTTTTGATAAACAATAAAATTCTATAGGGTTGTTGACTTCCTTGTCTATAGTATTTCTGTTAAATTACCTAGGCGAGGCCTATGTTCAGCAGTGGACTTTTGGCTGTAACGACTCTTAAAACTACTGAATAATTAATGAGTAAATAATGCATGACTTGTACTAATTATTAGTTCTTACTACAAAAAAATAAAAATCAGTTATTTTTAAATTGTTTAAAAATTCTTTACTTAATTATTGATAACCATTAATTTTATTATATTTTAAATCATTTATATTCTGGAAATATTCTTAAATGTAACAATATTTGCACAATATAAATTGATTTCTTTGTATAATGTCTCTACTACAGGGCTAGTATGGGCAGGGGAAAGGAGAAAATGCTTATCCCCTCGCTTAGTTTTTCCACCCTTTGAGCATGGGTACACTGCTTGATATAGGTACATACATTTTTTATGAATATAAACTTAAACCACGTCTAATGAACTTGTTGTGGATAAAATTGTACCTTTCAAATGTCAAAAAAACATATTTTTTGCTATGCTATGGACGGGGATAGATCTCCCCGTTGCTTTACTTTAGTAAACTATTTAGTAATCTGTGCCGTTGCCGTGCTTTGACATAAGGAGAGATAATTTTAACTCTTGTCAGTGGATTTAATCAGCCCATGCTAGCCGTGCTGGTTAGTAAATATCTTATATTGCAAAAAATAGAATATAATAATTTTTATTCAATATAGATTATTAGATAATACTTATTGAAAGTCATTTTTTATTTACCGCTGGTTCGGTAAATACCTCTGTCATGGGAAGAACCAGTAAGAAACCCAGCGGGACTTTTTTAAACATATTTCACTTTATAATAATTTTGTTTGTACTCTTTTTGAATAAATTTTAATAGGACCAGCATGGTGGCGATCACCGCTTTCCCAGAGATTATTTTCATTGATGTGTTCTGTAATATTATAATAACACTTTTTGAACATTTTTCCTTCAATAAAACATTTAAACTTGTTTATTGACAAATTTTGTACATTTTCTGGGACTTTGTTGTAAAAGCGTATGCCCCCCATAAATGAATTAACAATTCTGTTGAGTCTAGTAACTGGTATTACAAGCTTATGTTTGTTCCTAGTAGGTGTTTAAAGTATGAACATCTTTATTCTTCTCAAAGCTATTTATGTTTTAATGTATGTACATTCATTACATTTTCATAAATATATTGCGATGCCAAAGTTAGTATGTAGGTATATTTATTTAAATTTTTCTCTAAGGGACTCTTTACAATTTAAGTTATAAACTCCTCCCCATTTAAGAGCTCATTGGTATTTGGATCCTCACCAAATTTTTGCTCATCTTCCCAAAGAACAATGGCAGACTGTCATACATAAAATTAGTTGAGAAGGAATGGTAGCATCTATATATCAAAAATATCTTAAAATGTTAAGCGTCAGTCCCTTAATAACTCTGTCAAAGAATTTTGTCTTGAGAAGGAGTCAAAATAAAGATATTTAGATTTGAACCTTTTTAGGTTAGGTATTATGTCACTTGGAAAATGTCATGGCTTTTATTTATTTATGTATTTTTATGCATTTATTTTATTTTATTGATATTTATGTATATATATCATTTTCATTTACAATTATATATTTAATCAGCCCAACCAGATGAGAAAACTATATAGATACCCCACATAATAATAATGTCAAAAATAAGGCACTCTATTCCCTTACTCCCATAGTCCAATGGGATGGTATTTCGTCTCGAGAGAGAAAACACGGCTTAACGCGCTATCCACGGCAAGGGGGTGAAACACTGCCAATTTCCTAACTCCGTCCTGCTGCTGAGAATTTCTTGATAGAAATATCCAATAACAGATTTTGGCCCGATCCGGGATCTCATGATCAAAATCCTATTTACGACGCTAGACCAACAGAAACAGAAACTTTTTTATTCGATATAGATTATAAATAATACTTATTGAAAGTCACTCTTTAGTTTAATTACCACTGGTTCAGAAAAACCTCTGTCCTGAGAAGAACCAGCAAGAAACCCAACGGGACTTTTTTTACATAAGAGCTTACAATCATGTATGTTACACAATTCACAACACAAAAAAATTAGAAATACGAGTAGCTTGGTAGCGATCACCTCATTCCCAGGGTTTATTGTCATCCATAAATTCCTTAATATTATAATAACCCTTTTTGTACAAACTTTGTTTAATAACGTTTTTGAACTTTGAGCAGATCAAATTTTGTATATTTTCTGGAATTTTGTGGTAAAAACAAAATGAGGCAGTCAAGTGTTATTACAATATTAAGGAATAAATTAATGTATTTTAATTAAAGTATACATGGGTCGATTCGACCGGGGAAGGACCACGATCTCACAGAATATCTGCGTAAAATATACGGTGAGTGTAGTGGACCATATGGTCATTTTACTGGATACAAGGCATTCCATCTTAGTCCTCAGGACAGACAATGCATATGAATTTTGATTCTTAATCGAGGATAGATGTAAGGATACACCAACTGACATGCATAATATTATAAAATATTTATCTCCACGCCACACTGGAGCAGAGTTCATGAGCTTAGAACTGATACCTAAGAATTGATAATACTGGTCCCTATCACTACTCAGTTGAATTTGTATTAGGTATTTTTAAAATTTCGAAGTATACAACTAAAATTATTCTGAAATGTTTGTTAAAATTTTCTTTAACTTCATTACTTCATATAACCTTCAGTCATCAGTCAGACGACGGGAATGACTGACGTGACAATGTTGAAAAAAAATTAAACTCCGTGTGGTGATTCATGGCCTGACAGGCTGCCCGCGGTTGGTTTTTCTTGTCATTTTGAAATTGCGGCCACGTACCGCGCCGTGCGCTCGCACTATCTTAATGTAGCCTGCTACGCGGAAGGGAGTATTTGAGCGCAGGACAGGGATACACCGTTAACGAGATTGTCTACTAGTTCTGCCCCGGGGTTTCACCCGCGTATATTACGCGTCTGAGCCGCGCGTCATGACACCTCGCTTAACGTTAAAGTTATAGTAAGGTCCAAAAGTTTCTGGCCTGAACTATATAAAATGAAGGAGAAATCTCAAACCACTATAATTGTTTTTAAATATAATCGCCCTTTATATAAATAAAATTTTCTCAGATTGTCTTAATTTTTGCCCTCAAAATATGACAAAACTGCTGAATTAAACTCATAATTGTTAAATTTTTTATTCGTAAGTCTGATTTCAAATTTAGGAATAAATAATGTAACTGGGCGAAGTCGGATCTGGTCTTACGATGGTCTCGTACATGGTGGATGGTCGAGCTCAGTGAAACCGCGTTACTTATATGTGGACTGAAGCATCGTCATGAAGTAATAACAACTCAATAGCAACATTAACAATAATAACTCCTCGCGACAATTTCTCTCGATGTTTTTCTTTAATAGCATCTCGCAATTGATGTAGCAAGGAAGCATAGAAATTGCCTGTTACTGTTGTGTTGCGTTATTTAAAATCTACGAGTAAAATTCCTTCGGAATCCAAAAAGATCGTAGCCATAATATTTTTCTGAGACCTCATCTAGAAGTCACCTGATTCCTTTTTTGAAAGAATGTCATGATAAAGAACCAAGGTTTTGTCATTCGTAACAATTGAATTCAGAACGTCTTTCTGTCGGCCTTCACAAAGGGTCAAGAACTGAGCACAGCACTTCACTTGTTCTTGTTCTTGTGTTGAAAGTAGTTTTGGGACTCACCTAGCACTGCACTTATTCATATCCAAATGTTCGTGTAGGATTCTAAGTACTGTTTATTTATTTATTTATTATTACTTCAATTAAAACGGTAAAACCGATTACATTAATTAAAGACAACATATTCATTCTTCTCGCTCACAAAACTTCAGGCATTCAG